ACTTTCACCTGAAAAATTCTGTTTCCTCGTACAGTGCGTACTTTATATTTGAGGTATAAAATTTAGGAAAAAACTGCACACTATACACAGGTATTTACAGTGATTAGAAAGCCAGTTAAATTACAGTAGTTTTAGAACATTGTTTTTATGTTGTGTGTTAATATTTTGTGTTCTCAATTGCATATTTAAAATAAATAAAAATTAAGTAAAACACTAAGAACACCTGTGCATGAAATAGGGTTAACTTTCATTGAGATTTCAAAACCGTGAAAGCAAAAAAGTACAAGACCTACAGGTAAGTAATAAATTTCTTGTTTTTTATGTATATTTGTTTATTGTTATAAAAGTAGAAACTTATTTGCATGAGCATTTTTCCTGAGCGTAGCATGTTGTAATTTGACTCAATGCTGTGTTTACACAAAGCTGCCTTGCTGTGATAATTCACTTTGGCACTATTCTGAGTGGCAATAAGCAATAACTCTAAATGACTGGAAGATTTGAAATGCACAAGCTTGACTTATAAGAATACGTGGTTTGTGATTGTTTGTAATGTATATAGTCCTTCTAGAAATAAAAGAGTGATTTAGATTTATTTTTTATTTTCTTAATGGTCATTACAAGATTGGTCAAATGGACAAAGCCTGTAAACAGTATTAGGGTAGAGAAAATAACATAAAATTTAAAGTGGACTCAAAAAAAACTTTTTATATTCATTTAGGAAGTTCTAGAAGTTATACAAATAAAATAAGGAAACTGTAAAATACAAAAATATTATAATTTTAAAGTGAAAATCACCTTTTGCTCAGACTAGTCAGTGTCTAAGATTCTGACTCCATAAATTCAGACAACTCTTTAGTAAAAGTTCTCAATTAAAAAATAACATTTTTTTGTACAAAACTTGCAATGTTTACTAAAACTCACCAAATGTCATTAAGATACACTTACTACACTAAAAGAAATAATATTTATAGTTTCATAGTTACAAGGTTGGTCAGAATGACTAGACTTGTATAGAGAGGGTTATATTGTGTTGATTCTAATGTCTCGACAGTAAATTTGTATCCCTGCATATCATTGTTAACCCTGTGCAGATGAATTGTATTTAAACTATTACTTTTTACTCAGTAGTGGGTAAAGTTGAATATGATTTTCTGGTGTATTTCTTTCATAATTATAACTTGTATACACCCATCTAGATCAAACATTCCATAAAACCTGGTTTTCGAACATTTTGTTTATTTACTAGTGTCATTCCTTACAGCCAAAATCCACTGAAAAAATAAAACATTCTGATTACTTTCATTTATAATATGTCAGTTTGAAATACTTTCAGTTATTAAACATTACTGTATTCAATATATAGGCAATTTTATTCTAAAAAATGTAGAGTTAAACTAATAAGATACGTTAATATTTGAAAAAAAAAGTGACAAAGTGAATTATATGAGAGTGGCTGTTGTTTAAGTAGTAAGTTACTGGAAATATTTATAAATGATGCTCCATTTTAATATGTTTTCAATGTAATACAAAGCTTCAAAACCACAAACTTGTAACTTTGTTGTTTCAATATACAGAATTTAAAAAGTACAAATACAGTGTCTGTGTCAGTTTGATGTTCTCATCAACATCAGGTTTTAAACTATATAGACAAATCATTGATGATGAATAAAGTTGTTTTTATTACGACAAAGCTGTAACTGTTCAATTACATAATACTAACAAGTTGCCTCATTTATAAATGAATTTCACATTCACTAATATCAGATTTTTAGAACAAAATATCTTCAATGTAATATTGTTGCTAAATAGATTATACTTTCACACACTTAAAAATATGTTCACATGGTGAATGCCATATATATAGTTTTGCAGCAATATCAAATCATCATCTTGAAATACAAGATCAGTAAAGATAAGGTTAAATATACTTGTAAAAATAACACCACTGGAAATAATAATTTTTAGTTCTAGCTAACAGCTATGGCTGATGCACAAGACAATGCCCACTCACATATGAAAATAAAAAAAAAAGTGTTTCCTGTACATTACTGTACTACTTTGGTTTTCAATCTGATGTGCAAGGAAACCTTCCCGATAATATGGAGCCAACTTGCCATAAAAAACAGTTGAAATGCAAATCAGGAAACAGAAGCAACAATATTAAAGCATCTGCAGGATATTCAAATAGACTTGTTTACTGAAGTTGAACGAACAACGAGAGATATTGAGGTTAAACAGCTGATGACATTAAGGAGGGATA